GTTTCTTTTTTGTTTCTGATAAATGGTAAAAGGGTTTTAGTTTCACAGAAGAAGGCGAAACGAAAAACAAAACAAAATAATTTGAAAGGAAAATGGACGCGAATGGCGGCTTGAATAACAGCTGATTGAGGTTCAGCAATATTTCATACATGTACTGACATACATACACACGCCAGTGAGTATACTTTTTATGGTGTATGTATATGTATAAACAAGCGATAGAGAAGAAGTGTGTGTGTGTGTGGTATGAAATGTCAAACAACCGTGTGGCGTTGTGTAAATTTGAGTCGTCGTCGTTGTTGTTGATACAACAATGGTATTATGGTGTTGAATTGCTTCGTTTGTTTGTTTGTTTAAGGTAATAATGGGTTAAGCTTTCGAATGATATTTTAACAAGAAATTCTCAGTAAACGTAGGATTGCGACACAGTACACCTAGGCGTATTATGAATGTTAGCAAGCAATATTAATCATACGCTGCTTTTTCTGAGGCACATAGGAAATACTTTTTTGTCAAAGTAAAAAGGAAATATTTTCAGAAATCAATACTTTTCCCAGAATTGAGTTTGAGAAATTTGTAAAGTTATTTAGGTTTATAATTACATCGATGATAACCTGGTTTTTAATTGAGATATTCTTATCAGATATCTGCCAAATTCAGATCCATTTAGAGTAAGTGTTCCTGCAGTCGAAGCAAATTTACTCTAACATTAAATTCATATAAGTCTAATTAATAGAATAAAAACGTTAAGTTAATTTTTATAAAATTCATAAATTTATAAATGTTATAAAAATTAATTAAACATTTCATTCTGTTTTATAGAATTTCAAAATAGACTAAGAGGAATGAATTATATAAGAGTAAATTTTGCAATCGACTACTGGAACATTTATTGCACGAGAGTCAGTCTTGGTGCGTAGGCATGTAATAAGGGTTTTTGGAAATCTGTACTAGGATACGAATGGAATTTGAAATCCCTGCTAGATTCGTAAAAGATACGAAAAGTACTAAAATGTACTAAAAATTTAATAATTAGGTAGAATTCTTAAATTTGGGTTGAGAGCCACTGATGGAGTTCAGGATAGATGTAGCAAAGGATTTTTGGAAATTCGGACCTTTTGGTAAGCAAATCAAGGTTTAAAAGTAATTTTTTATATATGAAGGTGATTTTGGAAATGTGTACTAAATATGCGAACTGTACTTAGTGGTACTAAATTACAAACAGTTTGCTTAAAGACGAAAGGATGAAGCTAAAATTTTGTATTGGGGTCCCTGTTCGTGGCAGGTTTGTAATAAAGAGATAGTTTTGTGTACTAAATAATATTATATTTGTACAATTTGGTATTGGAAGAACAGATAGTGTTTGCTGTTTGAAATGTTTTATTAGGGTCACTGTTCATGTGACAAATGTGCCTTGACAAATGGAGATGGTTTCGGGAAAGCGTACTATATTTGTACGAAAAGTACTAATTGGTCCTAAATTTGGTATTTGGTGAAGGGATAGAGAAAAAGTTCTGGACTTTTATATTTCGATTGCTGGCAATATCTATGTTTGAGATTTGGGGGTGGTTCGGAAATGCGTCCTATATTTGTACGAAAAGTACAAAATGGTACTCAATTTAATATTGGGTAAGGGCATATGTCTGGAATCATCAAATTTGTTATTGAGGGCGCTTTTGGTATCTGGAATTGAGATATGAACGTGATTTTGAAAGTGTGTACTACAATAATACGAAACGTACTTAATAGTACTAATTTTTTTACAATTTTGTATTGGGAGAGCAGTTCATGTGTAGCCTCGACATATGGAGGTGATTTTGGAAATGTGTACCATAATTGTACAAAAAGTATTGAATGGTACTAAATTTGGTATTGGGGGAAGGGATAGATACAAAATTCTGAAATTTCACATTGAGGTCTCTGTTGGTATCTGGGATTGAGATATGGAGGTAGTTTTGAAAATATGTCCTAAAAATGTACAAAAAGTACTAAATTTGATATTAGGTCTTCGTTGGAATTGGGAATTGAGATATGGATGTGGTTTTGGAAATGCGTACTATAATAGTACGAAAATTACTTAATAGTACTCAATTTGTTATTGGGTGAAGCGATAGAGCTGAAATATTGAAATTTGATATAGATTTCACTGCAAGTGTCTGTGGTTAAGTTCAAATTTCTGAAAATTTATATTGAAGTCTCTGTTGGTATCCTGTATTGAGATATGGAGGTGGTTTTGGAAATGTGTACAACAATTGTTCGAAAAGTACTAAATCCCGAAATTTCCTATAGATATCACTGTTGGTATCTGTAATTAAGATGTGAAAGTGGTTTTGGAAATGTGTGCTATAATTGTTCGTATAATTGTTTTGGATATGCGTACAAAATGTTACTAAATTTGGTATTCAGTGAAGGGATAAAGCTGGAATCCCGAAATTTAATAATGAAGTCGCTGTTGGTTTCTAGTTTTTGCATATGGAGTTGTGGACAGAAAAATTGGATGTGGGTCCACTGTGCAATGGTTTTACTAATCTCCTCTTCGATGAACTCCAAAATGAAAGATTTGGAAAAAGGTAAACATTTTTCTATTATTCTTTTGGAAAAAATAATTGATTAATATCAAAAATCATAAAAGTCTGAACATTTAGTACGATGTATGAAGTTTTAATAAAAAGAAATTGATCAAACTTAGCATATTGTGCATTTTGAGTAGTAACAAGTAAAAAAGCTGTAAGTTCGGCCGGGCCGAACTTTTATTACCCTCCACCATTTGGTACAAATTTGACAAATTCAAAAAAATGAAACCCGTTAAAAATTCTGTTAAAATCTTAAAAATACCGAATGCTTATACGACGACGTGGGCCTGCATAGGCAACTTTTGTCATAAATTATTACAATATTTAAATGCGAAACTTGAAGAAAAATCTGTTTATAATGTAGCTAAAATCGTCAAAATACCGAATATGGGGGGTACCGTTATATGGGGGCTATACGAAGACGTGGACCTGCACAGACAATTTTCTGGCATGGGCTGAAGTATCCATTACGAACTTCACATACGAAATTTGAAACAATCCCTGTAAATAACGTCGCTAAAATCATTAAAATACCGAATATCAGGGGGGGGGGGGTTACCGTTATATGGGGGCTATATGAAGACGTGGACCTACATGGCGCATTCTTTGACTTTGGATGAAGTATCCATTACGAACTTCAAATACCAAATTTGAAACAATTCCGGTAAACAATGTCGCTAAAATCATCAAAATACCGAATATCGGGGGGTGCCGTTATATGGGGCTATATGAAGACGTGGACCTACATGGCTCATTTTTTGATTTAGGATGTAGTATCCATTACGAACTTCAAATACCAAATTTGAAACGATTCCGGTAAACAATGTCGCTAAAATCATCAAAAAACCGAATATCGGGGGGTACCGTTATATGGGGTACAGGAAGACGTGGACCTGCACAGATAATTTTCTGTCTTAGGCTGTAGCATCCATTGCAAACTTCAAATGCCAAATTTGAAATAATTCCGGTGAATAATGTCGCTAAAATCATAAAAATACCGAATATCGGGAGGTACCGTTATATGGGGGCTATATGATAACTTGGACCTACATGGCCCATTTACGAACTTAACCTGCCTACTGGGAAAAAATACATGTGTGCAAAATTTTAGCCTTCTATCTCAACTTGTTCGAAAGATAGCGTGATTACAACAGACAGACAGACAGACAGACAGACGGACAGACAGACAGACACACAGACAGACAGACGGACATGGCTAAATCGTCTTAGAATTTTACGCTGATCAAGAATATATATACTTTGTTTGGTCTGACATGAATATTTCGAGGAGTTACAAACGGAATGACAAAATTAATATACCCTCCATAGTATGGTGGAGGGTATAAAAGGCTAAAGACTACATAAACAGCTTGAAGTCTTCACATGGCATATTTTTGACATTGATGTGCCTAGTCATGATGCCAAGCTGCTTATGTACTCCTACCTTAAGAAATTTTAAGGTTAAAGCCGTACCCTAAATAATATTCTTCATAAAATTTTACTATAAATTAGAGATCGGTTTGTTGACTGATTTGAGGATTAAAATTGTCAACCAAAATATTCCTCGTGTATTTTTTTTGCAATATTTCGGAAGATACTGTATATCTAAAATGCACGGACTCTGAGGAATCTTAATCCAAAAAGTATAGAAGAGGGAAACATGGCCCCTCCATTTTGGTTACTTTTCATATAATCTTTCAAAACGCCATTACAAGTATCTACTTCTCCCAAGAACACAATCTTCATACGAGCAATTTTTTAATAAAATATTAATAATAAGGAAAGGGTTTCGTACTTTTATCGAGATACTGCAATTAATGTGCCAAATGTGACCAATAGATCGTAAGTACCTTTGGTTTTTGAAAAAAAAAATCTTTTCCGAATAATAATTGTTCCTCCAACAACACCCTTTGGTAATTTGTGTAATTTTCACATCTTCCTATGTCAACTATACGTTTTGTGTAAACATATACTTGTCTCCGACGCTGTATGTGTGTGCGTGTGAATGTTTGGCAACCATTATTATTCTATTTTGTTTTGTTCGCTACTTTGTTGTCATCTTATGGTGTCTGGTATTTGGTTATAGCAACACCTACACAAATGCATCGATAGCTTCACTCCAACAACTGTCTCTGTCTGTGTATGTGTACATGGATGAATATGAGCAGCATGAATAACTGCCATGACAGACATACCATATGTTTGACATTAAAAACCGTTAGTTAGTATCGAGAGAGTATGGAAAAATGTAAATGATAAATGTTTGTTATACATACACAACGGTATTTGCACACAAACAAACCAACAAGACGAACAACAACAACGATTAAATTTCGATATGTGAAGGATTTGGGTATTACAACAAAAACTTGTGTATGGAATTTATATTTTTTGTAAAAATTATTTTATTAATAATTTTCTACTTACCACCATCGCCACCGCCAAAAGACTGCATAATATTCATATTGAAATTATGTTTTTTTCTTACAATTTAAACAAGAACAATTTTTTTGTACAAAAAAACAAACGACAGCTGGTTTTAACAAAATTTTGTTTTTTTAATTTTTTTCTTAAATACACTTTAACATATTAAACAAGAAAAATAAATATGTTATAAAGAATTCGTTGTAAGATTTTCCCTTTTGAATTTTCTTGCACTTAATTTTTATTTTTTTTTAAGGTTTAAATATTTTTTCTTCAGATTACAGCCATTTATTAAGTAAGCCGTCAAATTATACACATTTTTCTCCATGGAACTTTTTGCAGAAACCAATTCATTTTTTGTTTTGTTATTTTTTTCGTTTTTATTTCATTGTAGAAAACATTTTTATTTAGATTTGGAATTATTTACAAAAAACTGGAGATTATAAAAATAATTTTCACAATTTTATTCCCCGTTTAATTTGCTTGCGATTTGAGGGTCGTTATCATTGTCTTTGCCATTTGAGTTTTTCTGTATTTGGTAAAGTGTGCTGCTGCTGCCGCTGATATCCCGTATTCATATATCCTTACTCGACCGAAAACAGAGAACAACAACAGCTGCCGAAACATTGAAGCCACCAACGAAGCACCGAAGAACACAAAACACACTCAGTCGGCCCAGTGATAACAACAGTGGCAACAACTACAACAATTTGCTTTACTTTGTCTGTGGTGTTGGTTATTGCAAAAAAAGCAAAACAAGCAAACCCGAACGAAGTTCTCTTTTACTCCGTTATGGCCTCTCTCTCTCTCTCGTTGGCTCTCAACAATATAACCAAAACATATGACGTTGTATCTCGGCAGTTATCCGTTTTTGTGACCGTTATCTCTTGCCTTTCTACCGCTACTAAATCAAAATTCTTCAATGTATTTACAAGAATGTTTATGTCACTATGTGCGAGTGTGTGTGTGTAAGTTTTGTAATAAAGCTTACCAGCTGTTTGAGGGTACAAATTATTTTTCTCTTTTTTCCATTTGTTTGTTACTGCACTACAGTTTTATATTAGAGAAGCTTTGATATGAGCGAAGGGTAGGTTACAAGAGGACTTATGGGACAATATTATCCAAAGGACCATAGGGACTAAGAACAGGGACTTCCAAAAATTATTATTTAAGTATCCTCAAGTGGTACCTATAAAAACATATTTCCTAAAGACAAACATAACTAAAAATGTACCTTTTTGAATAACATTTTCTCAAGGACTAACAGAGCCAAATACAAATTTTTTGAAGGACAGAAACCTAGTTAAAATTGAATTTTGTTAAACAAAATGTTTTAAGGGCTGTGAGAGGTCCTTAAAAATTGAATTTTTAAAACCAAATTTTTTTGAAGGGCTTAAAAATTGGATTTAAAAAAAAAAAAAACATTTTTTGTGAAGAAAAATGTTGATTTTTAAAACAACATTTTTTGAAAATTGTTGAAGCCAGAGAAAGCTTAAAAGTTGGGTTTTTAAAATAAAATTTTTGAAGGACAGATAGAGCTAAAAAATGGAATTTTAAAGGACAGAGAAAGTTAAAAATGGAATTTTTTGAATATTATTTTCAAGGACTAATATTTTATTAATTTTTGCTGGATCAATGGAGCATAGATATTTTCAAATATTATTTTCAAGGGTCTGTTGAGCCAAAAAAAGGGATTTCTTCAATATATTTTTCAACTACCAAGGATTTTATTAATATATTTTCCAAGAACCAACTGAGCGTGGATTTTTTAAAATATTATTTTCAATTATTTTTCATGCATCCAATAAGCGTGGATTTTTTAAAATATTATTTTCGAATATTTTTCAAGCATCCACTAAGCGTGGATTTTTTAAAATATTATTTTCAAACATCCAATAAGCGTGGATTATTTAAAATATTATTTTCAAGCATCCACTAAGCGTGGATTTTTTAAAATATTATTTTCAAACATCCAATAAGCGTGGATTATTTAAAATATTATTTTCAAGCATCCACTAAGCGTGGAATATTTAAAATATTATTTTCAAGTATCCACTAAGCGTGGATTATTTAAAATATTATTTTCAAGCATCCACTAAGCGTGGATTATTTAAAATATTATTTTCAAGCATCCACTAAGCGTGGATTATTTAAAATATTATTTTCAAGCATCCACTAAGCGTGGATTATTTAAAATATTATTTTCAAGCATCCACTAAGCGTGGATTATTTAAAATATTATTTTCAAGCATCCACTAAGCGTGGATTATTTAAAATATTATTTTCAAATATTTTTCAAGCATCCACTAAGGGTGGATTTTCTAAAATATTATTTTCAAATATTTTTCAAGCATCCACTAAGGGTGGATTTCTAAAATATAATTTTCAAAGACCAAGAATTTTTAAAATATTTTTCAAGGACCAACTGAGCGTAGATTTTTCAAAATACAATTTTCAAATAACAAGAATTTTTATTTTGAACGGATCAACGGAGCGTGGAGTTTTAAAAATTTAACCTTCAAAGACCAAGAGATGATTTTCAAAGACCAGGAATTACTAAAAATATTTAGGATCAACTGAGCGTGGATTTTTGAAAATATAATTTTCAAAGACCCAGAATTTTTTAATAATATTTTTCAGGATCGAGTGAAATAAATAGCCCAATACCAAATATATTATAATTTAGTACTTTTCGGGCACTTGCTGGTCACATTTCCAAAATCACCTGCATATCTCAATAGCAGGTACCAGCAGAGACCTCAATATCAAAAATCAGGATTTTGGATCTGTTCTTCAACCAATACCAAATTTAGTACCATTTAGTACTTTTCGTAAAAATATAGGACACATTTCTAAACCACTGCCAAATCTGAAACATAGATACCATCAGCAATCTAAATATCAAATTTTTACCCAATATCAAATATAATAACATACAGTACTTTTCGTACAAATTTAGTACACATTTCCAAAACCACCTCCATATCTCAGTTCTAGAAACCCTATCAAATTTAGGGATTCCAGTTCTATCCCTTCACCCAATACAAAAAATATTACCATTTAGTACTTTTCGTACAATTATAGTACATATTTCCAAAACCACCTTTATATATGACGCTCTTCATGATTCTTATACCAAATTTCAACTTGTTGGCGTTATCCGTTCATATAATACCAAATGGTACCATTTTAGAAGTTTAATACAATTTAAGAACATTCCGTGACCTTGAAGTTCGAATTTTCAAAGACCCTTTGCTACATTTATTTCGCACTCCATCAGTGACGGTAATTTCAAATTGCAGAATTCTAGCTCATTCTGTTTTTACAATAAAAAGATTTTTAGCACATTAAAGTATTTTTTGTACCCTTTTATTACGAACTTTCTAAAACCCAGACTAACCCTTGAGCAAAATTTCGAAATTCTATCTTCAGCCGTTTCGTCTGGGCATTGATTTTCAGTCAACCAGTTATTTTACTGGACTAAAATCGTGAAATTAAAAAAAAAAAAAAAACAAATCTTAAATATCTAGAGCCATTGCTTAAAATTAAAACACATTTTAAATGACAAATTGAGATTAAAAATGCTTTAAATCTATTATTTCTTTTTTTCTTTACTTTTTTTCAAAAACACCACAACTTTACATATTTCCAATATCAATATAATGTCTCCCGTGGTCGACTCAGCCCATTATTCACCATGTTTTTCTTGTTTCCATTCTTATTCTCTTTTTGTTCTCCCCAATGTTGTTCCAGTCCACACAATACAATTACAGTTAGTGTTGGTTCGTTGATTCGCTTCTTTATGATGTACTTGACATTTGTTGGGGGTTGTTGTAAATGTCAGTTATTGTTTTGGTATGTTTTTTTTTTTTTGTATTCTGCTTATATGCAATTACTTTTCCTCTCTTCTTCATACCGCAACACCCTCGCCTCTTAGTCTCTCAGTTGCCTGTCAGACACTTTATTATTGTGTACTATTGACCTTTAATTGATAATTATGAAAATATGTTAGCTGCCCTCCCTCTCTCACGCTTTCTTTCTCTTTTTGTCTTGCTCTCGTCTGTTTTGCTCTTGTTTTGTAAATCGCAATTAACGGCGGATTAGTCGTTTATGAAAGAGCCAAATTTAATGGGATTTCAAGCAAAGGGTTGGAAAAATATTGTTGCCAATAAAGGCGCTTTATTGAAGGAATGCTACAGATTAATTATTTATTTTTTGAAGTAATTAGAGTAGTAATATGGAAAATTTATTACTGAAGTATTTAGTGGATTTTTGTGAGTAGAATATATGTACTATTTAGCAAACTTTACTAAATATTTTATTGTTTCGCTCTCAACTGTTATGGCGAATACGTTATAATATAAATTATACGTATATAATTAAAAAAATCAAAATATACAGCATATAATTAATAAAAAATATTTTTTTTCAAAGTAGGCTTTATTAAAACTTCGTTTGAAAATAAATGAATATCCAATTTTTAGTTATATTTTAAGGTTATATTCTTTGTTATTATTATTTTTATTACTATTTATTATTATATTAATTATTATTAATATTATTATTGTTATTTTTATTATTATTATTATTATTATTATATTATTATTATTATTATTATTATTATTATTATTATTATTATTATTATTATTATTATTATTATTATTATTATTATTATTTTATTATTATTATTATTATTATTATTATTATTATTATTATTATTATTATTATTATTATTATTATTATTATTATATTATTATTATTATTATTATTATTATTATTATTATTATTATTTATTTTATTATTATTATTATATTATTATTATTATTATTATTATTATTATTATTATATTATTATTATTATTATTATTATATTATTATTATTATTATTATTATTATTATTATTATTATTATTATTATTATATATTATTATTATTATTATTATTATTATTATTATTATTATTATTATTATTATTATTATTATTATTATTATTATTATTATTATTATTATTATTATTATTATTATTATATTATTATTATTATTATTATTATTATTATTATTATTATTATTATTATTATTCTTATTATTATTCATTATTATTATTATTATTATTATTATTATTATTATTATTATTATTATATTATTATTATTATTATTATTATTATTATTATTATTATTATTATTATTATTATTATTATTATTATTATTATTATTATATTATTATTATTATTATTATTATTATTATTATTATTATTATTATTATTATTATTATTATTATTATTATTATTATTATTATTATTATTATTATTATTATTATTATTATTATTATTATTATTATTATTATTATTATTATTATTATTATATTATTATTATTATTATTATTATTATTATTATTATTATTATTATTATTATTATTATTATTATTATTATTATATTATTATTATTATTATTATTATTATTATTATTATTATTATTATTACTATTATTATTATTATTATTATTATTATTATTATTATTATTATTATTATTATTATTATTATTATTATTATCATTATTATTATTATTCTTATTATTATTCCTATTATTATTAAATTCGCCTAAAAGTATGCTATGCACTCTTACTTTTCTTTAAAATGACTTAGACAACGTTTACACCAATAAACAAAACAAACAATTAAAGTAGCATCAGGCGCTTTGGCCGACAGATGTATGACACCAGCCTTAAGTTATAATTATTCTAACTGTTGACTATTTATGGGGGAGGTTCCGAAGCAGTTGGTCAATATTGACCAATTCGTATCTGGCCTAAAACTGATATAAATATAAATAAACGTGCCAGATTTGAACTGTATCGACTACTTCCTATACTTTATATGAGATATGTGCAAATTTTTGGAAAATGTGGAAATATGCGTCAGGTAACTTATATAGCGGGCCGAAGTAATCCATTTTCATACTTCATCTAATACAGATAAAATATGTATATGTGCAAAATTTGAAGGAAATCGAACATTTGTATAATAATAATATAATTATTCAAAGTGTTGACCTTTTGTGTGGAAGATACATGATGGAGTGGGCCGATACTGTCCATTTTCTCACCTGAGGAAGCACTGATGCAAATATTAGGATTTGCAACGTTTGACCAAAATCGGACTATCCATTCTCTTTCTGTGCAGAAAATTATTTTCTTTGAAAATGTTGAGATTTTGTGGTGGTGGTACCTGAAGGAGTGAACCGATATTGCCCACCTCCGAACTCGATCTAAGTTTGACAATAATATTACGGTGTACCAAATTTGGATCAAATCGGATACTCCCTTCGAGAGTTGTCGTGCGCACCAGCCAGACAGGCGGACGGACATCGCTATATCGGCTCTAAACGTCCTGAAACCTGGATTTGGTCCAAAGAGGCCTATGGTCTAAAATCGATATTTCGATAAGGCACGTTTTGACCGTATAAAATGAAATGGCTACCTTCTGTAGCCATATGACTGATATGCTAAATGTGGTAGAATTGAACACGTTCTAGCACGAAACTTTTGTTAAATTTACAATTTGTCAATTCTTGCGTTACTAACCCACTAACCACTCAACAGCCAAATGGCAATGCCATGAAATCAACCCTTTCCCAACAAAAACAGAAAACTTTCAAAAAAGCTTTTGACAACCAAACAGATGCCGGCTTTTTGCGCCAACAAAACTTTTCCTACGTGTTTTTTGTTGTTGTTCCCATAATTTCTTCGTGACTACGAACAGGCAGCGCTGACATTCGTGAGAATTTGTTTGCGCTAGACGGACACGGTACGCGGAGTTGCGCTATTCACACAATCGCTTAAATATTATTAATTCTTTATTAATTAAAACAAAACCTAAAGGTGAGTTGAAACACACAAACAACAACTACAACAAAATAATCAACGGGCAAAATCTTGTATTATTAACAAGATGTCGATGTTTATGGCGGTGTTATGTGAAAGCAAATTGCTGTGCGAAAAGAGCAAAAAATTGCAAGTGTATTTGTGTGAATGCCAGACATTGTTTGCGGAAATAATTACTTTTCAAGAGTTCAATTGCAATAAAATTGTTAATTTTTTTAACAATTATATTTCTACAAATTGTACGATTTCAATGAATATTTATAATCGCCGTCAATTGGCACAGAAGTTCATAGAAATTTATAGAATTTCATCGATGTGTGTCGTGTTTGGTTGTTGGTTGGTTGGGTCACAAAAATTTGTTGCCTTCGTCAAAGATGTGCAAAGTCATGATTTTTGTGTTCTCATCGAAGAAGTGAAGTGTGTGCTCGAAAGGGGGAAAAAATTGTGTTGTTGCGTTCCCCGTACCTTCTATTGGCTATTTTGTGTGAAAGTTATTCCGCCATCCCTCCCTTGGGTACAAAATTCGCACATGATAAAAACAGCAACAAATGCCACACAGTTCTCCCTATATTTCGTGACTAGACGATTTCACAAACTTTTGCATGTTTCTTTTCGTTTTTGGTAAAACAAAAACTATTCCCATCGTTTCATCATCAAAGAAACTCCAAGAAAAAAATTGGCCAATGTATTTGCTGCTACCTAGAAACCGGTTTTTGTTTCATTTCAAATTTCTTCGTAAGAAAGGGGGAAATCCACAATCTCTGGAAGGAAATAGAAAGAAGTTACTCACATCCAACATGTGTTGCGTAATTACTAGCATTTTGTACCCTAATCTGCCGGTTGGTGTAGGCTTGTGCACATTTATCAGGAAGTGGACTTTAAAACTTCATATATCGCGTCTCAAAAGTTCTTTTTTCCAAACCAAATTGTAATCTGTTCATCTAAGGTATGTTATCAACTAGACGACGACGACGGACGGTTGGTTATCTGTAATTTATTGCCTTAAATAGCTACTAATTATGGATTATTATTATTTTTAGCAATACTATAATGGCATCTGTAATAACACACGTTTGCTTTATTAGCGAGGTGAATTTGCAAAACTGCTTAGCTCTGATCGTTTTGGAAACGTCCAGACAAATCTAATTTGGATTAAAGTTTCAAGACTATATACCCTCCACCACAAAATAGAGGATTTGTCAAATTTGTCATTCCGTTTGCAACGCCTCAAAATATCCTTCGTGGACCCTGTGAATTTGATATATTCGGTAAAGATCTATGTACATTAGGCATGATTGTCCATCCAAAAATACAATTTTTATACCCTACACCATAAGGTGGTAAGGATATTATGTCTTTGTGCATTTGTTTGTAATATGCAAAAGGAAACGAGATAGACCCATAGTCCATTTTGATAATCTGCATAGAATCACATTCTGAGTCGATTTATACATGTCCGTCTGTCCTTGTATTTTTGTGAACAAAATACAGGTCGCATTCATTGCCCGATCCAGATGAAATTTTGCACAAATCATTCGTTTGACCCTAGTACGAACCCTATTAAAATTGTCAAATCGGTCAAAATGTAGATATATACGTACGACCAAATTAGGCCTGAAATAGGTATATCAAATTTGAACGAAATCGGTTCAGATATAACTATAGCTCCCATGTATGTTCTTCATCCGATTTGTCATTTTTGTCGTCCGCAGCCGTAATATGCACTCTGCAACAATGATATTTGGGGAAATATATCAAATACAGCTCAGAAATAAATTTGTCGAGATCGGTTCAGATTTGGAGTAGGCCCAGTCCGACTTTGAGACTTTCTTTACTGGTTTTAACTAGTCAACGTCAATTGTCGATAATAGAAATTATTATACCCTCCACCGTGGAATGGAGAAAAAATCCCTATTTCCACTGTATATCAAAAAAAAAAAATATTTGCATCAATATTCCAAAAAAAGAAAAACCGAAAATATTCCCTAATTTTTTGATAAATTTATCCTCGAAATTTTTTCTAGTTAATGCCTGAAAGTAACATAAGATTTCATTTTAGCAGTGTAAAAATAAGAAATATTCTGAATGTGAAAATTATGTCTGTTTTTATGCCCTTAGCCATAGGGCAATGGTATTATCATATCTCATCGAAATAACTGTTTTAGACCCTAGGTCTCTATGGATCAAATCCGTTTCAGGACATTTGGAGTCGATCTAGCGATGTCCGTCCATTCGAAAAATGGCATAAATTTTTATAGTGAAAAATGCCATGTCGACTTGATAGTACTCGCTTATAGATCAAAACTCCAAAGAAGTTCTGGGTTCTTCTACCAAATGTAGTTGTCTCTTATAAAGTTTTAACCATATACAAAGGGACACCTATGGTTTGAGATATATTTCTGAATATTTGAAATATGATTTAGATCTTTAAAATACATCCAGAATAGTCATATTTTTTTCTAAAATTCAATATTTGTAGTTCTTATTAAGTTCTTGCTCCGGTCTACGTTTTCTCCCTATACCTCCAAATATTCGTTATTTTATAATTTTATTCACATTTTTTACGAAAGATATTTAAATTACATCCAGAATAAGTGGAACAAAAAAGGGGCATATCGGCCTTTAAGAGGCCACCTTTTGGTATAGGCCTTATATAATGATATCATCTGATTTAGTCATACTTTTTTCTAAAATTCAATATTTGTAGTTCTTATTGAGTTGTTTCTTCGATAGCGGAACATTGTTGGTTCCCGTTTTCTTATAGCGCTAATTTAACGGTACGTTAAATATTCGTTATTTGATCATTATAGTCACATTTTTTACGAAGTTGTTTCAAACTTGGTATTTAGAGTTCTTAATTTTTTTTACACGTTGTATCGTTATTATTAATCTCTTTTCATTAATTTGACGTCTTCTTACAGATGCCCCAATTGCAAAAACCAGCTCCCCAATTCAAGGGTACCGCCGTCGTTAAGGGTGCCTTCAAGGACATCTCTTTGGCCGACTACAAGGGCAAATACGTTGTCTTGTTCTTCTACCCCTTGGATTTCACTTTCGTCTGCCCCACCGAAATTATTGCCTTCTCCGATCGTGCTGCCGAATTCCGCAACATTGGCTGTGAAGTAATCGCCTGCTCCACCGACAGCCAGTACACTCATTTGGCCTGGATCAATACACCACGCAAACAGGGTGGTTTGGGTGAAATGGATATTCCATTGTTGGCCGATAAGTCAATGAAGATCGCTCGCGATTATGGTGTATTGGATGAAGAAACCGGCATTCCATTCCGTGGTCTTTTCATCATCGACAAAAATCAAAATTTGCGCCAAATGACTGTCAACGATTTGCCCGTTGGTCGCAGTGTTGACGAGACATTGCGTCTGGTGCAGGCATTTCAATTTACCGATGAACACGGTGAAGTCTGCCCAGCTAACTGGAAGCCCGGACAAAAAACAATGGTCGCCGATCCCAAGAAGTCTCAGGAATATTTTGCTGCCGCTTCGTAAATGTTGTTGCAATAATCGTATATACGATGAAGAGCATCAGCATATTCATTAAAAAAATATCCAAAACAAAAATACCATGAAATAAGGCAGGCGAAAGAGCTACCCGATAGGCTTTCGTATACTACTATCAACCAGCAACAATAAATCTGTAGATTCCTTATATTTATACGTTTAACTCTGGTAGTTAAAATATCACACATTTCTGAAAAATATCATTCTTTTTCTATACAACTTTCGTATCACAACAATTTCACCTATTTTTTCACCCATGTCAAACAAAATGTAATTTGTATGCAAAAAAGAGGCAACTAAACAGGGTGAACCCTCAACACAAAGGGTTTGCTTTGTTTGGGTTTAATAAATTTATGTTAAAAAACCACAAAATTATGTTTTTTTTTTTTAATTTCTTCTCATATTAGACGATTATTATTATTATTTTTTTCCAATCCTTTTGTGTTGTTTCTACGTTTATTAGTTTCCTATCCAAGTAGTGGTCTTAGACGTCACACAATACTTATTTTCTTTCCTCCCAATATAAGTACATCTTATCAGTGCTTTAGAACTAGGAAATGTGTATTTGTGTTTCCATGTTTACAAGCGACGAGAACAAAAACAATAACTACAATAAAAATTGTTCTATAAAATCATTAATATTTTCTTCTTTTCCTATTTACTTGGCATTCTAGAAGTAGGCGTTGTTTAGTTTTTTTTTTTTTTTTTTTTTTTTGTGTTTTGATGTTATTTACGTCTTCTATGTCGAGTCTTAACAGCTTGCGAAGGTGTAAAATACTTCTATTGACTTCTATTGATTGATTGTAAAATACTTCTTTTGAAATAGGAAAATTTGCTTCGTTGGTAAAAAGTTCATTTAACTCTATGGTTAGGAAATTTTGAATACACTTAGAGGTCTTCAGTAAAGGTGTAGCTATATGTAGCGACAATTTGTCATTTAGGATTTCCAATGAGAATTACTATTTGGTGTGGTCACGATTTAGTCCACTATTTGGTATAGCAATAAATTCCCTACTTTTTTGTGACCTAAATTGGCTGATGAATTAGCTGGAGGCGGTTACCAGTCGATTGATGAGACTGTTAAACCCCCAATAAGCTGTTTCAAGAAATCTATCCTCCAAGAAGTTGGCACAGGAAACCGGTTGCAGGAAATATAAAGCCATCAAGCCGGTAATGCCAAGAAGAAAAACAAGCTTTCTTCTATCATTTTATAGATTACTGCAGTATTAGATATCTGACATCAAGATGGGAGAACGGTGTCCCTGACTATGTGAAGATAAAGACAACTATGCAACTACTTTGCACATGTCCCATGATATACAATAAGATACATAGGCTACATGGCAGATGGAAGATAGAAACTCTAACGTTATTCTCCGACATAAATCCCATCATTATTTACAAATTTGCCAAAACCATTACCTGGCTAGGCACACCACCCTCCTAACTACACTTCTCTCTACAAAATTTTATACCCTCCACCATAGTATGCATGGTATATTAAGTTTGTCATTCCGTTTGAAAAAGGTTGATTAAATTTTACTCAAATGTATATTATGTCTGCGAACTTTTGGTAATGAAAATGGGCCTTGTAGGTCCACGATTTGGTGTAGCCCTCATATAATGTTACCTCCCTATTTTCGGTATTTTGATGATTTAAGAGACATTATTCACCGAAAATGTTTCAAATTTGGTATTTGAAGTACAGTGCAAGACAGAAAAAATTTTGGGCAGGTCCATGGTACCTCCCGATATTTGGTATATTGATGATTTTAGCGACATTATTCACCGGAATTGTTTCAAATTTGGTATTTGATGTTCGTAATGGATACTACAGTCTATGACAGAAAATTGTCTGTCCAGGTATAGCCCTCATATAACGGCACCTCCCGATATTCGGTATTTTGATGATTTTGGCGACATTATTCATCGGAATTGTTTCAAATTTGGTATTTGATGATCGTAATGGATACTACAGCCTAAGACAGAAAATTGTCTGTGCAAGTCCACGTCTTCGTATAGCCGCCATATAACAGTACCTCCCGACAGTACCTCCCGATATTCGGTATTTTAATGATTTAAGCGACATTATTCACCGGAATTGTTTGAAAATTGGTATTTGAAGTTCGTAATGGATACTACAGCCTAAGACAGAAATTTGTCTGTGCAGGTCCACGTCTTCGTATAGCCCCCATATACGGGACTTCCCTATATGCGGTATTTTGATGATTTTGGCGACATTATTCACCAGAATTGTTTCAAATTTGGTATTTGAAGTTCGTAATGGATACTACAGCCTAAGACAGAAAATTGTCTGTGCAGGTCTACGTCTTCGTATAGCCGCCATATAACAGTACCTCCCGATATTCAGTATTTTGATGATTTTAGCGACATTATTCACCAGAATTGTTTCAAATTTGGTATTTGATGTTCGTAATGAATATTACAGCCTATGACAGAAAATTGTCTGTGCAGGTCCACGTCTTCGTATAGCCCCCATAAGATGGCACTTCTCGATATCCGGTATTTTGATGATTTTAGCTACATTATTCACCGATTGTATTCCAGTTTTACATTTGAATATTGTAATGGCTTAGGACAAAAGTTGCCTCTGCAGGTCCACGTCGTCGTATTGACCCTAATATAATAGCTAAATTCGGTATTTTTTACGGATTTTTTTTTTCTTTTTTGAAAATGGTCAAATTCGTTCCAAATGGTGGCAGGTATTCAAAGTTCGGCACTGCCGAACTTATAACTTTTTTTCTTGTTTTGTTACAGGAGCTCTACTAAATGCGCATATTGGTGCAGAGTATCATATAGTCGGCCCACTCAACTTTTGACCTTTCCTTACTGGTTTTGCAATTATTTTCTTTCGATATCATAAAGAGAAATTCGGTTATCGTAGTAGAAATTTTCACATTCTTGCATGGGTGGGTCATATGTTTAAATTCTGATTATTAAATTTATTTGAAAATTCGAATAAAATTTTTAATGGAAAACTTTTAAGATTATATTTTATAAAATTATCTTTAATTGGCATTAGGTGACTAATTTATTGAACTCAGTTCAAACAGGTGCCATACTCAAAATAGTAAATTTCCAATTATATGCAGTAGAAGAAAAATAAAATATGTGCCTGCACACGCTAACAGGCCCTCTTAATTGTATTATTTACACCTTGAAACCCATAACAAATGCGCTATAAAAATAAATATACCTATTTTTTTCCATTTCAAAAATAATTTATATTCTCTCTCTCCATTCTATGCAAACAATTCCTCAACTGACCACTTAAGACCCTCAAAAATTGATAAAAAATAACATCATTATGGCGTTCGTTGACAGATTCCTTAAAGTCCAACCAAACAAATGGACTTGGGTTGGTGCGATCGCATACTACACGCTTTGCACAAAGTGCACACGGTATAGTATTCTCCTGATAGAGTATCCGCCATGTCTATATTGTTGTTAGTTGCTAATCTGTGAAATGTTTATGGCAAGTATTTTGAACGTTGTTACGTCGTGCGGGCTGTTTCTCCTTTTCCCCTTTCTTTCCATCATCATCATCACCATCATTATTATCGGCAAGTATTCTACGATTCTTTCTAGATTTGTCATTAAATAAATGTTAATATATTCCGTTTATTGTTCCGACAGGCATACAAGTAAAAGTACGTTGTATATACAGAAATTTGTACCATGTGTGTGTGTGAGTGTGTAAGAATGAATGGATGGTTTTTTTTTTCAAACACAATACGGGTAATAGCGTCATATCATTGCGAAATTAAATTAAAAAAGAATAAAAAATAGACACACTGTTTCCAACACCATATAACAATTAAACATATAAGATTGGAAGTGAAATAGCTAGGCTTAATACCATTTTCTGATATTTTAAAGCAAGTGGTAAGGCAGGAATGACCATACTTCAGGAAAGAGCCACCAATCCTGGTTAGCTTCCTTGGTTTGGTCTACTTCAAAAAAATTGAAATATTATTATACCCTCCACCATACTATGGAGGGTATATTAATTTTGTCATTCCGTTTGTAACTCCTCGAAATACTCATGTCAGACCCAACAAAGTATATATATTCTTGATCAGCGTAAAATTCTAAGACGATTTAGCCATGTCCGTCGGTCTGTCTGTCTGTTGTAATCACGCTATCTTTCGAACAAATTGAGATAGAAGGCTAAAATTTTGCCAGTAGGCAGGTTAAGTTCGTAAATGGGCCATGTAGGTCCATATTATCATATAGCCCCCATATATCGGTACCTCCGGATATTTAGTATTTTGATGATTTTAGTGACATTATTCACCGGAATTGTTTCAAATTTGGCATTTGAAGTTCGAAATGGATAATACAGCCTAAGACAGAAAATTATCTGTGCAGGTCCACGTCTTCGTATAGCCTTCATATAACGGTACCCCCGATATTCGGTATTTTGATAATTTTAGCGACATTATTTAATGGAATCGTTCCAAATTCGGTATTTGAAGTTCGTAATAGATACTTCAGCATAAAAAATGGGCTATGTAGGTCCACGTCTTCGTATAGCCCCCATATACCGTACCCCCCGACATTCGGTATTTTGATGATTTTAGCGACATTGTTTACCGGGATTGTTTCAAATTTCGCATGTGAAGTTCGTAATGGATACTTCAGCCCATGCCAGAAAATTGTCTGTGCAGGTCCACGTCTTCGTATAGCACCCATATAACGGTACCCCCTATATTCGGTATTTTGATTATTTTAGCTACATTATAAACAGATTTTTCTTCAAGTTTCGCATTTAAATATAACTTATGACAAAAGTTGTCTATGCAGGTACAAGTCATTCGGTATTTTTAAAATTTTAACAGAATTTTTAACGGACTTTTTTTTTTGGAATTTGCGAAATTTGTACAATATGGTGGAGGATATTAAAAGTTCGGGTATTAAAAGTTCGGAAATTTGTACCATATGGTGAAGGGTATTAAAAGTTCGGCCCGGCCGAACTTACAGCTTTTTTACTTGTTTGTTTATAACCATGTAAAATAGCCTCTTTTTTTCCGACCATGTATTATTCGTTTTAACCCATACTGTATTTTTTGAAGAGGTATGTCTCGATTTACCTTTGAAACAATATCCCACAATTCGTTTCTAGCCCAGTGTATTCTTTGTAACCACTACGACATTGTCTGTATTTACAATTTATATTACCGACTTGTAATCTTAATTGCTTAGCATTACCCAGTATACAAATAAGTTTAAAAAATATGCTGGTATTATTAAAATTTAATTTGCAAACAATAAAAACGAGATCTGGTTCAAAATGGATTAATTATCGAGAAATGGAATATGCAATTACGCATTGCCTAGAATGCTTGTATGATGCCACAAGCAGCCTATGGTACAAGAGAAAAGGAAATTATAAGAAGATAGGAATCGTCTTTTTAATAGGTTTGATGGTTTCTTCTCTGGAATAGGGACAGAGGGAGAAAGGAAATACTTGGACATAAGTGGTGTATGCAGGGAAGAGACAAAGTTTACTTTTACCCGGGAAAGGGGTGTAAAGAAGATGGTTTACTTTAATACCCTAGTATCAAGTGCTCGCTATTTCATTAGCGAAAAGTCCACCTTAAAATTTTGGATTTGGA